GAACAAACACAACCTAACTCACACATCCCCCGCCCCCTCCCCACTCCCACGTATCGCATCCATCCCACAACCAACACCAATCCAAGATCCACCAACCTTGTCAACCCCCCTCCCATTACTCCAAGCCCAAACAAGGAGAAAGCCTCAGAACTCAAGCCGACCCCTCATCAAAAGTATACGCAGCCAGGAAACATACCGCAAGTAAATTTAGTCATCAGAGTGCAACCAATCTAGGGTTTAGGGTTTTAGCTTCAGACGATCTTGCGAGTAAAACTCCTCCCAAGGAGTCCAGAAGTAGAGCAATGAGGCCCGACAGCAGAGAACCATAGCAACTAAGGACAATAACAGCCTAGAACAGGCTAGCTTAGGCAGGGGTGAAGATCGGTACATCCTCCTCCAAGGAAGTAATCAATGCTGTCTTCAGGGCCTCCACGCCATAAGGGGGAGGAGCGTGAGTGAGTAACCGTTGTACTATCCTTGACTTGCCGGGGGAATAGGAACCGGACTGATGCTCCCCAGAATGGAAAAGGAGCAAGAACCATAAGGTTCTGTTTGTTTGTTAAAAAAACGAAAGAAAGAAAGAAAGGGGGGACAGCGTTGAGATACCATCATCGAAATGACTGGCCACAGGTAAGAATTATTTTATTTCATTCAGCTACCTTCTTCCCCCGAATACAACGTACGGCCATTATAGCTGTATCTAGACTGAAAGATCTGTCAAATACAGCTATAATGACCGTACGTTGTATTCGGGGGAAGAAGGTAGTTGTGTCGGTATTAGAACTCAACTCTGGATTTTATTTTATTTTTTGTGGAAAAAACAAGGATTAAGATGAACCGAGAATGGGCGTACCAACTGAGCTAGGCCTGTTGGTCCTTTGACCCATGATGACCGAGGAGAAAGAAGGGGAAAAGACAACAACAACAACAATAAAAAAAAAAAAAGAAGTGAGACAATTCAAAGGAACGAAATAAAGATAGTACGGCGGCTGAGTCTTCTTTGATTTCCTCCTCCTGTTGTTTCTTGTACTCTTACTTGCCGGTATTAAGCAACCGGACTGACGGCCCCCAGAATAGAAAGGGCTTGCGTGTTTTGGGAAGAAAAAAAAAAAAAGAGAGAGACAGTAAGGAAGAAACCAACTGGCCCAGCTCAGTTGGTACACCCCTGCATTGTTGAAATACAGACCTGAGTTTGAACTCCATTCGAAGCAGATGACTAAAATACTGCAATTCTGAATTACCTAGGGTGGGTT